TTAATTAGAGAAGAAGGTTGTATCATTAGCAGCCAAATCGATATAAAAGGAATTAAGAGCTGGCCAGCGAGCTCCCCTGCTCTGCAGCACAGCACCCGGGGCTCTGTTCAGCTACAATTCAATACACATTAGCAGACAATCAGTGTAGTCTTGTATGGGGATGTCTTCTTGAAATACTTTAATTGGACTCTCTAGTGTTATCAGTGCTAAACAAGATGTCAGATTAATTCAGAAGCCTGCCCAAATGGGACTGGCAGCCCACAGTCTGGAGAAGCCACATTTAGTTCTATTAAAACTTCACTGGTTTTCCAACATGTATTAATAGCACTATTTTCACAGTTATCTTAAGAAAGAGTGACTGAAAATCATCTTTCTTTACATACAGATGCTCCATCCTGTAAAACTCAGCTGCCTCCATACCAGCAACAGCAGATCCACCCCTTTTTGCAGCTTCAGTCCTAGGCTTCATTAATCACAAACCTACCAGTCACACTACAGCTACACTTTCACTCTGAATTTATAACCTCTATAGATAATACAAATTGACATTAAAATCAGGAAGGGTAAAACATTCAACTGACAACTCCTGTAACTAGTATGAAACTTGACATGGCAATATTATATGTAGCAGCATAAACTTTTCATGACAAAAATTTAAACTACTTTCCATCCTGTGTATTCCCTATGTAAAACTGCAATACTGTCTTATCACCTAACCGGAAGTTATTTTTACTTATACTGCATTTCACCTTTGTTTTAAAGGAAGCATACAGCATCTACATTACAAATTTCCTGCTCAACAGAGTGGATGCTACAAACCAAAGCTGAACGTTTTATCTAACGAGATAAGAAACAAGTAGATCTATAAGAGAACAGTACAAAGAAAAATAAGGACCATGTTCATGTTACACAGATGTGTAGAACCTAGGGCTTTGACATTTCACACAGAAGAGAAGCAAACATTAGCTATATCTAAAATGACACAGAATATTTAAATACTTTCTGACAGAAATTTAAATTCCGTAACTGATGAGGAACAGGCAGTACTGCAGATAGTACTGACTGACACTACAGTCTAACATCAGAGATTACAGCAGCCACAACATGCCAAGGAAAACTAATGTCTGTAAGGCGGAAACTGGCAGTAACATGGAACTTACATTAATCCTGTTTAGATGAGTAAGCATGACAGCATGCAACACTATAGCAGACTGAGAAACACATTATCAGAGATATTACAGAATACAAAAATCAGAAACAAAAATGAACTTGGGAACTTTAACTACACATGAGAAACAGTAAGTGCATTCAAAACAGAAGTGCCCAGTGTCCTGGTCAACTTCTGGTCATCACAGAAGCAGAGACCCCTTCAGAAAGCAATGAGTCCTGATGGTGCCCCTTTCACTATAGAGTGTAAAACAGTTTTCACAGTGTGGCTTCTACAACCCAATTCTAAAAGTTCTGGAAGAGACAAAGACATGACCACAGTTCTGGTGTCCTACCTCCCTTCTGTTCATGACAGCACACAACAGGAAGACAGTTCAGAGTACAATGCTTTTTTTCCATGATTTGGATACTGCAGGTCTTGTTACAAAAGATTCCACTAGGGCAGCCCATCTACACACTACCATTTTGTCAAAAGAAGTGATAAAAAACCGTCTCCAGCTCTAGTAATGCTCTAAGCAATAATCTGCTCCCCCCGAATGAAATTCTTCCAACCAGATCAGTTCCTTTGCTCCATTTTGTGCACCTTGAAAAGCTCAAGTGTTACAAAGAAAATGGATTCTTGACAGCACACAGTCCTGCAAAGGACTTAAGCATAAGTGAACATGACAAATGACTTGAACATGATGTCTTTTCTCCAAATACTGCATGTCACAGTATTGAGAAGACAGCCTGAGTTAATGAAAAATCTTCATATCCCCCCTTCAGAACACCCTCATTCTAAGACTCTCTAAACCTTAATGCTTTAATTAACCTTTTATTGTTTAAAGGTTATTTCAATACTTATATTCTTAAAATACAGGCCTCTATTTACTTATTCTATATGTCCCCCATTCCCAGGAGTTTATTGGAGGACCTTATTATACAGGGTTTTTTCTCATATTTCACTTTAATCATAAAAAGGAAGATATCTGAAAGGGGCCTAAAAGGATGCCGCAGAGGGACTCTTCATCAGGGACTGTAGCAATAGGACAAGGTGTGATGGGTTTAAACTGAGACAGGGGAAGTCCAGGTTAGATATAAGGAAGAAGTTCTTCCCTGAGGCGCTGGCACAGGTTGCCCAGAGAAGCTGTGGCTGCCCCATCCCTGCCAGTGTTCAAGGCCAGTTGGACACAGGGGCTTCAAGCAACCTGCTGTAGTGGAAGGGGTCCCTGCCCATGGCAGGGGGTTGGAACTGGATGATCTTAAGGTCCTTTCTAACCCAAACCATTCTATGATTCTATAATAATTGACAACAATGGATGCATCTAAAAGAAATCAAACTCTTCCCTCCTCTTTTCTCATACTAAGTCTCCATTCCTTCACGCTTAAAAGAGAACACAAAGTTTGCCTCTATTTTAAAGTGTCTTCAACCAAAGGTCATCTTGATACTGGTAATTGTGCAAAAGTATTCACACTGTAGCCTAGGTAAGTATCTGCAGGTGATAAAAGTTCTAACTTTGGATTACAACTACTTCATGCTTTCAGTTGGTTTAATATACTGGTTTCAAGATTTCTGGATACCACAGCCTATCCAAACTTTACCTAAATCTGTCCTATTGCCCCACCCTTACACAATACTTACTAATTTTATTTCTAAAAGACTAATCTCAGAATACATGCTCTTTCACACAGTATCACTGTCCACCAGACTTAATTTTATGTGTGGGATTAACATAGTAAATGAAACGAGTGATTTCATGGTCAATAAGAAGCAGAAAGGTTTCATAAGGAAAGCCCAAATACTGGAAAACAGAAAATATGAAGGGTCATTCAGGGTCTGAAGAGAATATATGAATTACTGTGTAACATGAAATAAAAAGAGGTGATTTTGATTGGACTTTCTGAAGTCAGTGTACAGAACTGCATCTCTTTTAATAAGTAAAATGTTCCTGAAGCTAAGGATCATCAGTGCTCACTGCACAATGTGATGTCTGGAGGAGTTTTCAGGTAGAAAAAAGAGACAGCCTATTCTAGGAAGAAAACTGACATTCACTCCCTGCGCAGCACCCTACTGCGTGTGAACTTGAAGGTATTGCTCAATCAATCCCAGCTACTGGTTTTAAAATTTATGCCCCTGAAAAATGCAATGCAAAGATCAGCTTCTCCTCATGCAACTTCTATAAAGACAAAGTGCGTAACTGCCCCACAACATAAATACGCACCATGGTAAATCTCCAGCTGACAAGCAGCACATTCACCCAAGTTCTCTCCATCAAAAAACCTCAAACCATGGAGGAGGAGGGAGGGGGAGGAAAAGAGGAGATTAAAAAAATAGTCCTTCTAGGGAACCATAAAAGTATTTTAACAGACAACACACTATAACAAAGTGTATTAAGGAGGTGTCATGCCTAGCAAGAACTGGTTATCAATTCATGAAACACACACTGACACAAAGAATTGAATTATAACCTCCGACTGCAGACTTCTGTAGTATTTGTCAGATTTGCCTTTTAAATAACCGTACCCCAAACTCTTCACCATGGGCCACCACAATTGATTGCTTTTGGATGTACAGTCCAAAAAACAAGTCACATTATAATAATTCTGAAGGTTGTATCAATGTAATCTACGTAGCTTTCAAATGTTATACAGCACTTTCCTACTGTGTCCTGAAAAAACATGAAGCCATTATTTCTACCCAGTAATAAATCATCTAAGCACTGTAGTACTTTCTATAATGGAAAAGCTACACACTGTATCTTCCATTACCTTCCAGTTTAATTAAATGTTCTTCAAATAAATCTTACGCTTACGCTCTCGTGACATGCTACCAGTGCTGACTTCTCCATTTATAAACTGGCTGGACTCAGGCCAAGCATCCTTGCTTATCATACCTGTCACTCACAGAAAACTCCAGACTCTTAGGAACAGTCCTCTTGGGGTCCTTCTTTGCTAGTTACTAATTTGATATGTCTGTAGACTGAATTAATTATATGAGCTAGGTACCAACAGACTTCTTTTAGCTTGCTTGTTTAGAGCAGCCAAGAGGTTGAAGAAGGACAGGACACCAACATTCCTAGAAGTGAAACTACTAGAAAAAGTCTGCTTCTAAGCAGAAATACAGGCACTTGATTTAGTTTCAGTTTTCAATTAGGCAGAAAGCATTGGTTCAGGGAGCATGAAATGCCTTCTCTTTGCCTCTGAATATAGAATCTTCTTACTTATCTACCCTGACATTATAATAGCAGTATAGGAAGATGACTTTGGACAATTTTAAAACATGAGTATCCTTCAAATGGCTATGCATTTCTAGTCCACTGAAACATCACAGTGACCTGAATGTGCACAAGTCCATGGGTCCTAATGGAATCCATCCACGAGCCCTGAAGGAGCTGGCAAATGAAGTTGCTAAGCCACTGTCCATCATATATGAAAAATCATGGCAGTCAGGTGTTCAAGGCCAGGTTGGGCAGAGCCTTGGGCGACATGGTCTAGTGTTAGGCATCCCTGCTCACGGCAGGGGGACTGGAACCAGGTGATCTTAAGGTCCTTTCCAACCCAAACGATTCTACGATTCTATGATTTAAGCTAACCTGTTTTAGTTGAAATAAATAAGAGGAGAATGTATGTGCAAATGTCATCCTTCAGCACATACCAGTGTCTGAGTTAAACTGAAGTTCCTTAATACCCCAACTTCTGTTGACCTGTGGAAAATTAACTGGAAACAAGCAATGCTGTACAAGTCACTATTAAGACCTTCTAACCCATTATAACATATCTAGCAGCAGACAACTTAGATGTACAAAATTCTGTTTCAGAGTGGCATTATTCTCAATTAAAGAAAATAAAGTCAATTATGTGCAGAACATACTTTACTAATATTTAACTTCGTTTTCCTCAGGATGTCTAATACGATACACTGTTACATGAAGGAAATAAATTTTGTCTTTGTATTTGATCCACTGACAGCAGAAATCCCTTTTGTAGCAATTTATCAACACAACAGAAATCTACATGGGCACTATTTCATCTTCCCTCAGAATCAGTACAGCTCAGTTAACAAGCCACGGATTTCAATTGAATTACCACAGGTAATAAAAGCCCGTAATCTGGCGTTGATGTTTACTTGGATATTCACAATGTCCTCAGACATTCTTCACTTGAGCAAGGCTTACAAATCATTACGTTAAAGTGAAATTTGAGAAGTCATCACACCTATGCTGAAAAGTTAATTAAAATTCATTTTATCACTACCACAGTAGCACCTAACCTGCTAAAAAAAAAAATAAACAAAAAATTTTAAATGTCATTTAACACCAAGCCTATGAAGCTGAAAGAAAATTAACACATGCACCAATGTATGCTGAAAGTATGAAATGTATGCACCAGGCTGAAAGCTACTTTGCAGATAAGGGCCTGGGAGTCCTGGTGGACACCAAGCCAAACAGAAGCCAGTAGTGTGCCCTTGCCTTCATTAGCTCCACAGAAACTGTAACACAGAAAACAGCCACAACATTCTTTTGCTGAAGAGAAGCTGGTTTTACAGGAGCTATTTAAAGAACTGTTTTTTTTTTCTTAATGAAGCATGCAGAAATCATTAACACTGAGGTTCAAAAGAATATCAAATACTGTGTTTTATTTAAAAAGATCAAGTTGATAATGACACCCTTCCTGTTAAATATAGCCTCTCAGTAAGACAGATGCAAAACAGAAAGGCTACTAAGCATTCTGATTTTGTGATACACTGAGCATCAGTACATCAATCAGTGCATTACAATCAGGAGGAGCTGTGAGTACTGGTCATTGATTTATTTTGTAAGGTCAAAGTCACTGCTTCAATTTGTGTAAAATGCTGCTGCCTCAGAAGCAGCCATAAAGGATTGCTGATCACCATAAACCATCCTCCTCTCTTCTCAAATGGAAAATATAGCGAAAAGCTGTGGGGGGGAACGCCTGGACAGACCGAATATCAGTACGGGTTTGCAGAAATTTTTAGTTTCCTGACAGTAAAAACCTGCACTCACTTGCTCAGTAACAAAGCTCTGACACACAAGGAAACTACCAGCAGCTTTGACCTGTTTTACATCCATGCTCAGTTCATAGGGGGAGGGGAGAAGAATTCAATCATTGAACGTTATTAGTTTCTACTTCTTCCTGCCGAAACCTTCAACAGTAATGAAGGGTGCGGTTCTGCCTTCCCACATTCACTTCCGTCATTCTCACGCTGACTCCAGTGGCCCCGCAAAAAAAGAGCAATGGATTTTCCTTCCAATTAGCTCTTTCATTATCATCTATGTGTACAATCATTAGCATCAAAACAAGGATGGAAGGTACAGGACTCACCTTTTCAGCATACAGGAAAGACTTACGTTAGACAGCAATGCCAGTGGAACCAGAGGCTCTAGTATCTCAGTACTGACTGGACTGCTCATCAACCACAGATTCCTATTGCTCATGTGCAAGATGAAGACCATCACTCAGTATATTGTCTCCAGTCTCTCTACTCCTCAGTGACTTCCAGAATGCATTATCAGCACACTAAACACGATCCAATCAAATTAATCTAGTTCTTAGAAGTCAGTCTAATCATAATTTTTGAAGACTGGTTGAAACAACTGCCACGGTCTCTTGAAAAGGCAAGTCTGTTCTCCACTAAGTCAGGAACCACAGTTTAGCAAGAGTCTGAAGGCTCTTGAATAACAGAATCCTGAAGAACCTGCATGGTTCTTTACAGTTTTACTGTGATATCTAGGGGTCCTGGTGGGCAATATGCTATGCAAATGATGCATGCTGGTTTCCCCAGAGCACCTGGCCTATTTATGCATGCATAGCTGATACTACTTTCAAATTCATCAGAAGCTGCAATTGAATATAATCTCCAAAACAGAAAATACATGGCATGAGTCAATGGATTTCTCAGATATAAAGAAGTGATTCAGGCACAGTAAACACTTTTGCTGCGTGACTCCAGGGTCCTCAGAGGCATTTTATATCACTTAATCTCAATTTACCTCCCGGGAAAGCAATTCAGATCTGATCAAGAAGGAGTGGAAAAAAGACGTTACTGACAACACAAAAAAGCCTACTCTGATGTCATGATGCTGTATTACTTGAATCACAGGCAGATTTCCTGGAATTCAGTTTTGAAGTGGGAAAGCAGATGATAAATAGTATTGATAGAAGAACAGCCACCTACTGGGAGTAAAAGGAGAAATTATTTCAGATGACAATTAAGTTGTTATTACAGCTGAAAGTTAAAGAAGCTGAAAGTTAAAGCAGCTTTCCAAAGTGTACCTTAACATGTTATTTAGGTTCAAAATGTTCCCCATCCCAATTTTGCACATACTGCAAAGAATACAACAGTTCTAACTTGCTCACAGTAGCTTCTGGGTCACAAGACTGTTTTCTATCTCCTTACTTGCAAAAAAGACAATTTACTGTAAACTCACAGATGCCATTACCTGTTCTGATGCAGTTGTTCCAGCACCACCTTTACACAGCAGCACTGACAGAAGTAGCTGTCAGTACTCTGTTACATTATTTTAAGACACTTTTTTCACTATGCTACACAGCATTCCACACAAGGAAATCCAGTGCTTCCTGTGGAGTGGGAATATTATTTGGTTGCCCAAAGCTAGCAGTCTGTGAAAATGAATCAAGAACAAATCACAAGGATTGTTGCAGTGACATGCAAAGGCCTATGCAGTTCTAACAAAACTGAGAATTATTATTAGAGAGATTACCTTACACATAAAATACTTTAATCACAAAATGAACAGCCTGAAGAAACCCAAGGCTTAATAGTGTTTGGAAAAGATGCCCAAAATGTCTATAGCAATCCATCATTATAAAACCAATGCTTTCAAATAATCCTGCCATGATCAGGATACAAGAACACATACATTTCTGCACTTATACAGATCTCTATGAATAAATCATATGAGGAAAAAATAGTTTTTCCTACCAAACCACTGGGTCAACTCCAGCCCGGAGCTGTTTCAATTTGACTGCCAGTTGGTTCCTCTTCTACTCCGTAAGCCCCAGCACACAGAAGTTCACACTACAAAACCCTTCACAGCTAGCACTGCCTTCTCACTAGCAGATGAAACACATGGATTCCAAACCATGCAAACTAAGCCCAAACTGCTGCTGCAAAGGACAGTCCCATTCTTCCCATAAACTCTTGTAGCCCTTTTGCCACCCAAGGGAGCAGTCCCATTGTCAGCCCACAAGCTGGACAAGGTGAGTCAGATGAAAGCTGAAGCACTCTTTCACCCAAGATCTTTTCAAAACCAGATCAGTTTCCTAATCTAGTTGATCATGTAATGGCATAAGTGCTACCACCAGTATGACAGAAGTATTTGGAAAAAGCTGCCTCAAGAGGGTGAAGAAGGATCAGGAAACTGCAGTCTGAGCAACGTACCTGTCACTTAAACCCTGATGAAAAACAGTAAACAATTGTTACAGTGAATGATACTATTCTATCATGTTTGTAACAGGCAGTTATAAATTTCCCCTGCAGTATACTGTATCACCACCTGTCACCTATGGGCAAAGCTGTGTCAAACAGCCCGTTCTGCGCTCACTGCTCATGGTGACTTGCTCTCAGCACAGCAGATGTTGGAGACTGTCCTGGCCAGCACTATGGCTGTGGATCACAATGCGCCTTTGTCACATGAGATATCCTGCAGTCAATTCCCTGTTCTTGTTATGCAGCAGGCATGATTTACAAGATTAGCAACTGGTATATACAAGACAAGGTGTGGGGGGGGACGATGATGGGGGGATGCAAAATTACAAACTGAAGATGGAAAAGCCATATTAAAACCCACCCTTTCCATTCTGTCCAAATATTCCAAACACTGACACCTGTTTTTTTTCAGTGCATTCAGTGTCTATTTTTGCCCCAACAAGATCATTTTGGAACTGAACTACAATTACATTTGGTAAAGTTGGTAAAGCTTAGACTTCCATACACTGAAGTTAAACCACTTGTGGTTCTCAAGCTGCACCACTTACCCAGGGAGGCTGGCCTAAAAAAAAGAAAAAAAAAAAAAAAAAAAGGTGTCACTTTTATTCCCAGTGAATTTACTTTGGTCTTAGATATTCCCAGCTTATTAGTTTTTTGATTAGGGGGAACCCCCCCAACATTATAAAGGAACGGATGTTTGTCTGCCTAAGCGTGGACTTAAGTCTTGCAAAAAACACAAAGGAAATATCAAGTAAAGTTCTGGGACAAGTGTTCGGCACTTTAATAATCTCGCTACAGTTAAATCACAAAAACAGACCTTCCATTAACATCAGAGGTTACAAGACAGCTATTCTAGGCCAGGAGTTTATCTGCAATTAAGAACCTTTTACAAATGCAAAGAGGAAAGTCTGAGTATGAACAGGCATTTCAGTCACTTTCTAATGAAGCTGCACATCAATTTATTGCTCCAACCAGCTGATTCCTGCAAGAATCTACATACTGATTCTGAACTTGCATTATCTATAAGTTGTACCTATTTGTGCTGCCTAATGTGAGGACAATACAGTTCAAAGAGTTCACTGAACATGCTGGTTAGAATACATCCTGGAGGGTCAGATAAATCAAACTCTTTGTGAACTTTGTTCCAACCAGTTACAGAAATTTGGCAAGAACCCATCGAGTTCTCACAGAGAAAGGATTTTCTTTAAAAATCTGCTGTTGTCACACCAAGACTTTCCAAGATATGATTTTGCAAAAGGCAGGAACTGTTCAAAGATCTTCCGTCAGTGTTAGTGGCAATCTCTGAATTGGTACCACGTGGTAACCTGTGCCTTGTCTTGAAAAAAGAGAAACATCCTGGCCACTACATGGACAGCATACATATGCACATATATCAAAATTCATAGTTCTAAATAAGTTACCTTCAAATTTCACTTGAAGTAGGACAATTCAAGTAGCCACAAATCAACTAAAGGATAGCCGGTTTAAGAAGATTCATACTACTACTTTATTATTTTTAAACCAAAGGTCACTTAAGGAGATCTGGCATAATGTACACATGGAACCCAGACAGAAATGTAACTCTCATTTCTGGAAGGAAGAATACTATTAGAAAGAAGAAATACAAAAGGATGCTTGAAAGAAAAGCTCATCTCCATGGGATTAGAAGTACACAAGAGTCACCCTAAACAAATAGAATTAATTCCATTCTCACTCAGGAACTCAGTAACTGTGTCACAGAGCTGACACAAATTCATGGGTAACCTTTTTGCCTTCTGACAGGCAATCTCCCACCTTTGAGGCTATCCACAGTTGGTGAGAATTTATTCCTCAGTCTTGCTGTAAATTAAGTACAAATGGTTTCTCTCACAGCTTAGGGTCACATAGTTTCCAAGCTCTAACCTTAATGACGTGCTGGCAGAAGGTACAAGCAAACAGAGGGGTTGCAGTAACTGTGCTAAATAGAGAATACAACCAACAGTAGAAAATTTCTCAGTGTAAAATTATACAAGAACCTGTAATCACAGCTTTACATATATATAGCTTAAAATCATTTGCATATACATAGCTTAAAATCATAACTGTTTTTTAAGCAAGTTTAAAAGCACAGTTTGATAGTATCATGATAAAGAAGTTGAACCCAGAGAATGCAGAAGTCTGGATTTCCTCTGTCAACACATGAAATTCCCTGTATTGGGAAGACACTTGACTTGGTAGAGGCCACTTACACAGATTTCACTGGGCATTAGCTGTACAGCTGAAAATTTTAACTTTGGGGGAAAAAAAAAACAACAAAACAGAAAAAAAAGAAAAACCAACTTTTAAAGTCTACACAAGCCATTTGTACAATGAACACAATTCCCCCCCATTCTGACCTTCACTGCTTTTGTCACCGTGTTTCTATGTTCTGGTACTAGAGACAGTCTCACCCTGGTAGCTCTGCAGTGACATGGTGAACAACCTCCTGCTCTTCCAACAGCACCAGTTAGGACAGGCAAGTTAATCTGGATTTCCCAAAGATGTTACCAGGTTTCCTGCAGTGGATTTAATTAGGCCCCTGCTCTAAAAGCCAGCCCTGGGTGTCACTTAAAATATGCATCTCTTAAACAACGGACTGACAGGAAGAATGATGAGTTCTCATTATGAAGCAAGTCTAGAGCAATTGAATTACTGGACTCTAGCTATCAGTAAGTGCCCTTTTGTCCTTTTCTTATGCCTGTAAGACAGAGCCCAAAGCGCCACCTTCTGCTGAATAGCGGGAGCCACAAAACCCAATTTCAGCAGCTGGTGACCTACTGCAGTGATAGATATTCACACACTCAAATCCATCTGGTTAGGCACCAAAAAATGAACATGTTTTCTCACTGAGAAGCTCAGTATGTCAGAGCTTTCTGAGCTCCTGCTCTTCCAGCAGAACAATCATATGAACAGCTAGAGCAGTGCTGCCCCAGTGGCACACATCAGGAACCTGACATAAAGGATATGTTACTTAGATTTCAGCAAGCGTCCGACTAAGTAGAACTTTGTGCATTCTTGCAGAAGGCTCCATATTTCCTTTTGAAATCTCACAGAGCGCCTGAAGCATATCGTCACAGCTTCCAGAAGGAAAATAGCATGCAGTAGTCAGCGGGCCCAAAAGATGGACAGACTAACAAAATGACTTCACAGGCCTCACATACATCAAAATAATTTACAAAAAAAACACCCCAAACAAAAAACCAGTCATTGTATGATTGCAAAATATGAACATCCTTAAGTTAAAACAATGTAATTATCGAACAAACATCAAATGCAAATTTAGGAGTACAGAACAGCCCGCTCTAACAGCTGATACCCAAGTATGTATAAAAATACCCATGTACTAATGAGACTGTAAAGACAACAAAAGTTTATCTTCAGATCAAAAACCAAAACCTGAGTCTCTGTTCATCTGTATTTGGGGACAGGGCAAGGAGAGGGAATGGGGAATGAGTCAGGCATTTTGTGTATTAACTAGACCCATCTTTGTAGTAACAGGAATAACAAAGAATTTTTTATTGGCATTTTGGATATATGGGCTGGCAGAGTAAGAGAAGTATTTTCTATTACAGCTTCAACCAAACTTGTAACATATGGCTAAAATTAAGACAGAAAAAAAAACATGAAATACTAAAATCAGACTTCAAACAATGGAACAGTTTGCTTTGTCTATTTGAAAGACCAAAAAACCTATAAATAACCCATTATTTCCCAAATAAACTGGGCTGTTCCTATTGCTGTCAACCTTTGTAGGACAACCTTGATTTCAGCAGACTGCTCCAGATCAACAGTCTGGAGACTGCTCCAGAACAACACAGTCACAACCTAGAAACTGTCACAATAATCAACAAACCGAAAGCTGGTGGTAACCTTAGAATTTAAACTGAATTCAGTGTTAGAGGAAGTAGTGACATTAGTAGCTCACAAAACCACAACTAAGCCAAAACCTTTCTTTGTGATACAAAAGAATCAAGTAGGGAGACATGGTGCTAATCAGTGACACTTATTGCCAACAGACTTGCGGCAGATTCAAACACTAGATCCTCTGATTCAAGTCACTTCTGTAATAAAAGAAGTGATAGTGAAGGCTACTTTCATGATACAGACAATATACTTCCCTTACCATCAGAAAAAGAGAAAAAAAAGAACCTGCAAGTGGTGTACAAAATGAGTTTTAACAGTATTCTTTCCTAATTCCTCTTTTAAAAGAGAGTTAAAGCTGACATTCTGATACTGGAAAGAGCACAATGGTGTAGTATTATTTTTCTGAAAAAGCCTAAAAAGTTGTGGAGCAAAATGATCTCAAAACAAGCGCTTAAATTTCTGTACTATTAGAAAAAAAAATCAAAACAAAAAAACAACCAAACAAACAAACAAAAAAAACACCCCAAGAGTTAAATCCCATTCCACTGTAATTCCAGTTAAGTACCCAAAGCATCACAGGGAAAAATGCCACAAGAAAATAAACAAATGACAAAATTAAAAAGATGATACTGGTTTAAAAGTACAAGCTTGAGTGAGTGGTATTAGGACTAATTCTACTTCGTGTTTTTAAATTATGATGTTCAGCACAGGAGGTAGGCAGTGAAACTTTCAAATGAGACTAAATTAGGAGGTGTTATCAACACAGAGGCAAATTGAAATACTCCATTAAGAAACAATCAGATGACCCTGAAGACTAGAACCCCGAGGACGACCCTACTAATGGTACTTCTGCTATCGGCTGAGAACTGATCAACTAGAAACAAGAAAGGCCCCTGTTTCTTTATCTCAGAATGATTATGATGCTGCAGTGCTATTTGCCTTGCCTCCCCAGCTTTCATCCAACAGCAGGCATCGCCAGTCTAAGACTCAAGCCAGATAAATTTTGATTACATAAAGAAAAGGGAAAATTCAAACACTAAGTCAGAAATGGGTGAGATTTTCAGCTGTGCTGAACGGGAAGGGCCCTCCCGAAAGTGTCCTTACGGCACAAACCGCTGCTCAGACTCCACCAAAGGA